TATTGTCAAACCACATTTAAGAAAATATGCCTGACATCTAAAAGACCCATGGAACATCCCATAATTTCATTTCCCAAATATATGGAGAAATAATTTTGTATCACATGGAGTCCATGCTACACCACTTCCTGCATAAGGGATTTATTCTGGAGTCTTGAAGTCACTCATGCACGACCACAGGAGAGAGAGAGTGTTGGCTGCAGAGCATGAGGGGATGCGGGGCGCAGTGGCGAAGAGATTAGATGACCAAGAGTTATGCTCCGGCGAGATGGGGCCTCACCGACATGTGCGGGATGTCAGGAATGATATGGGGTTTTTCTTGAACGCTTTCTTCTCCTTCTGAGTGCAATTTTTAATGCAATTCGTGGAATTGGATGATTCATGCGAAGGCGCCGAGTCAAGCGTGGTTGTTACTGTATCATTTGAACATGCTTGTGGTGAGAGACTCATGTTTGAAATCAGTGTCCTTTTCTCCGTAATGCTTGATGTTCCTTCGAACGGCGGAAATTATCGCGAAGAAGTGTCAATTCAAATTTTTTTATGAGTGAAATTATTCCAATGGTCTCCGTTATGTGTGGGAATCACGCGTTTCTTTATCGGTGCACCTATTTACTGAATGCTGCCACGTCCTTGTATATGGACATTTATCGCGTTTCCTGGTTGTTGGGAGTGCTGGGAACCGATAGATAGGAAGTTCCCAGCACTCTTGGCAACCAGCAGTGGCTCGTCTGGAGCTGCGTAGGAAGAAAAAAATCAGTGTGTTTCTATGCGCGAAGTAGTGTCTTGATTCTCAAGTGCGCAGTCATTAACCCATTATACATCCTCTAATGAAATGTGCTTGACAGAAAACCCAGATCCCGTGTGTACACCTGATTCTTTCAATGAGTAAAAATACTCTCTGGGGTAGTTTTTGATTTAGTCACTAACTGGATTCCCTTGAGAAGAATGTGATATAGACCAGTGTTTTTGGACCCCGTGGTCCATGGACCAGCAATGGTCCACAGAAGTTCTTTGCTGGTCTGTGGGAAATTTTCTTCAGCTTAATAAATTCATCAAAAGTAGCAATGAAATCTTTGTATGAAACTTTAGAAAAACGGTTGAAATTATCTGTTGAAAATATAAGTTGGCTTTTCTCCTAATAAACACTCTGGACAAATGTTTGTAAAATATTTCTGATGCTTCCAGTTTGCAAATGAACTGTAGGAAAATTCCTTCTGCTCCTGCTTGTTGCTTTCCCACACAACTTTCTACCAGATCTTCCTTTAGAGTGTTCAAGTGCTGGACTGTAATGCTGTCCAATGCAAAGTAAAAAATCTTCAAAGTCTTGAGTTCAAGTTTTTACAAAGTTTTATTCTTGTAGCACACAGACTTGCTGCCTTGCTTCTGGAGTTCTGATCTTGTTCTGCTTCTATTCTTTCAAACGCCCAAATTTATACATCTCAATTTCCCCCTTCCCAGAAAGCTTTAAAGCTTCTTGAACAACTGCAAAACACTCACACAAATGGGTGCACTTAAATGCACTTAAAAGCCCCATCAGAAGTTGCCAAATGTTCAAAATAAATCTTGTACAAATGGACAGAGAACAATTGGGATGCCTGGGGAGGAAGGTTTAAATCTTCCTCCTAGACAATTTTCAATGGGAGGGCTTCTATTTTTAGGCAGAAAGTCCAACTGCAAATTGAAATTCTCAGTGGGCAACCACTTAACTATCTTCCGATTTTTCAGAGTTTCTGTTTTAAATGGACTTCCTGGATGGGATGCCTGGGGAGGAAGGTTTAAATCTTCCTCTTAAACAATTTTCAATGGGAGGGTTTCTATTTTTAGGCTGAAAGTCCAACTGCAAATTGAAATTCTCAGTGGGCAACCACTTAACTCTCTTCCGATTTTCAGAGTTTCTGTTTTAAATGGACTTCCTGGAAATCCCCCTGGTGGAGCAGCTGCTCCCAAGGATGCTTTAAAGTCCAACTGCAAATTGAAATTCTCAGTGGGCAACCACTTAACTCTCTTCCGATTTTCAGAGTTTCTGTTTTAAATGGACTTCCTGGAAATCCCCCTGGTGGAGCAGCTGCTCCCAAGGATGCTTTTAACTCTGTCCTGGCCCCCAACAGGTGGTGACGCCTCAGGGGGTCTGGGCTTGAGTGCAGGAAGGACAAAAATATCTGCAGCTGTGCACATCCTAAATTCGAGTTTCCTTTCAGGGTTTTAAATACATTTTTATAATACAATTGTTACAAATGTTGCCTTCAACTTAAATTTTTTTTATTAAAATTTTCTAGTAGACTTGAATAATTGAGAAAAAAATGGAATGCAAATCTTAATTTGGTCCCGTTTCTGGAAAAGCTTGACTTCTTGTCATTTTTGGATCTGCTACGCAATTTTCAAATTGCAGTAAATGTGCCTCTCGATTATTTGTGAATTTTTTCATGGTCATTTGGCACTGAGAATTTTTAGAAAGAATTATTTTCGAGCATAAACGTGTTTGGAGTTGCGCCCTTAAAGTCATAGCTCGGAAAATTTTGAAATAAGATTGTTTTATTTTTGTTAGGTATGAAGTTCCTGCTGATGCTCTGCAAGATCCGTACATACTGAAAGATTACCTTTGGAGGCTGCAAACTATGGGTTGGACAAATCGGAAGGACTTTGAAGAAGCTTGGATGGCTTTGCTTGCTGTTTGTGGGGTATCTGTGAATGCTTGTTGTGGCGGAGGAGCTGGAGATTGCGAAGACACCGATGTGGACATGCCAGGTAGACTTCCGGTGATCCGCCGAAAGACGAAATGCGATTGAGTGGTTAATCTATTCTTGTTTTCGTAGTTTTAGCGCGCTCTGGTTCGTTGAGTCTTTCTGGTCTGACGGGACTTCTACAACAGACCTTGTTATCTCCTAGTCCGGGTTTCCCCCTCGCGTCATCCAACACGAAGTAAGTAAGAGCTGCTGAATTGCAAGTTCTGCTTTCGTATAGAACAATCATTTCCGTTCGAATTGAAAGGTCTTGAAGCAAAAAAAGATACACAAAGAGAATTGTTCCATTTTTCCGTAGACTTACATATCTGAACAGCTTTTTGCAGAACGAGCTCTGGCCGCTTGAAAGCGGTAGATATTTAGCTGTTCATCTTTTTTTCCGAGTTTTTCCGGGATAGGTCCCACAATCGAATTTTTCGCTCTAGTACCCTCGGGCGAGGACAGGAACACGGATGAAGAATACGCTTCTGAACAATGTGTGTAGCCCAATGTTCATCAGAATGACTCGAGTCACAACGATCTCGAAATTCTCCGATGTTAATCGACGACCAGCACGTGTTGCCACCTTCATTACAAATATCCATTTATTTTTATTGACTGCACGCTTTTCAGTAGAAAACCATGAAAACCTTACTGCCTTTGTTGTAGTTGAGCTTGATCGAATGATTCTTTTATTTTTGAAGCTCAGTTTTCCTCTGTGTAGTCTAAAACTTCGAAGTAAATTCAGGAACTTCTTTTAAAATAATTAATTTTATTGGTGGATTTTTACTGCGAATCTCCTTGACAAGCGTGAAGTTCATGAATTTTTCGTTTCTCCAGAATGACTGTGAATGGAATGGAAGAAAATATTTTCTATGTGCCATAGATAATACACAAGCTGCTGAATGAATGGAACCGAACCCAAAAACCTTCGAAAATAATCGTGCCTACGTGGAAATGGAATACCGTAACCCTCTTGCATATATCTATAGATCTTTTTCTAGAAATTAGTTTCAAGTGTGATGTACGTTAAGGCTAGGCTCAAGTTTACATCAACGCTATGCTTCGAAAATTGCGCGAATCGTGATGTGATGTCTGTGTGATAAAGATCAGATTACTGCCTGTGCAGTGGTCCTTATGCACATTCAATTTTGTCTTTTAAATGTTCTTGTCTTTTTTTTCTTAGGTATGAAAATTACACAGACAGGATTCGCCCATCAAATGCCGGTGTGACAAGTGCACCCTGGATTCGTCGTAATCATGAACCAGCTGATCCTGCGTCGCTGGATTTCGTAATCGGTAATCTGAAGCATGGACGTGGCTCTACGCCAGGTTCTCCGAGTAAGTTCCGTGATTCATCAGAGAAGAAGATTAAAACAGAAAAATAATACAGGTATTTGCGATTCCACCCGTCTGAATGTAGTTGGAAGTAGTTGGGCTACGAAGCTTCCTCCTTGGACTGGACCAGGAGAAAGTTTAAGCGCTGAGAGGAAGCGCCGTCTGTTGGCACTAGGTGTTGACGTTCATTCATGCGTACATTTCTTTTGTGATCTTCTGGCACAGTGGAGCCAAAGTCATGTAAGGGCTTTTATCGATCATATTATTTCACGTTTGTCATCCATTTTATTTCACCTACAGCAAATTCTCTCACCCATACTGCTTTTGACTGTGCTGAAATCAGAAGTTCTCACTTTGCATCTCGTCACCGAATTCGGACAAGCGCAAGTTCTGCACGACTCATTCATTTCTTTCCGGAGAAACTATCTGAACCTGGAAGATGAACTCGTTGTACCCTACCTTGTATTGGGCTTATCGGGAACAACCGCAGTGCTTGCTGCAAAAAGTGTAAGTTTTGAATCAGCCATATGGCATTTACGCGACTTCAAAACGTTTTCTAAGACGCACCTCAAGATTAACCCGCTGAGTCGCAATAATTCGAAGACTTCTGAGAATTCCCCATGCAAGCAATATGAAGAACTCCATTCAATTAGAAGAAGCATCACCGAATGATTTCTCGAAATGCTGTTAACTATTTCTTGGATAAGTTTCCTGCATTAAGTGAAAATCACGTTGAAAATGTCTCCCCAGTGTTGAGAAAGATTCTCGGAAAATTCTTAGGTGATACTCATTTGAATGAGTCCTTGTATTTTCGCCAATCCTTATGCTGGCGTTTTGCCGTTTGAATGGAAGTCGATAAAGATTCAAAGACGCACCCTAATTTTATTTTCGAGAAATACTTACACCCGCGTGAAATTCGGTGATTGGGTGGGTATGATGTTGTTTCGCTAGTGTTGGAAGTGATGCGGTATAGGATCGAGGTGAATCATGTTATGAAAAGTTAGGTTTTTTGTTTTGTTTATAAAGTATTTTCCATTTGTTTATTTATTTTATTTTTTAATTCTTACAGATCGGAAATTACGAGAAAGGAAAATTGGGTGAATTCCCTGAACCAACGAGCGCGGAGTCGGCTGGCTGGGAAGTTATGAAGGAGTGTGTTACGGTATCTTTGCGAGGGATTCCGATTGCATGTCAGGTTTTCGGATTGAAAGCTTGTCAGAGCCTCATGCAAACGAAATGGGCAAAGCTAGTCTTCATGAGTGTTTTTCCTATTCTACCGGATTATTTGCGGCTCAACCTTATCGGTGCTTCTATGTAAGTAAGGATGTATCTCTGTGATACAGAACCATGTATGCCATCCTAAATAATGTGAATCGCACTGTACAGTAAATCGAATTAGTTTTTCTGCAAAAATTCTTTCTTCGTACCGTGTTCTTTCTTGGACCCAGAGGGGTCTCTAACAATGCTATGAAGTTTCTCTTTAACGAATTTCTCGTCACAACTACTTTTTTTTGGTCCTCTGAATTTCGTTGCATAGATACTCCATTTTAGATAGTTGTCATAAATTTGTTTTTAATTCTCATGTTCAATATTGTTGTTCGAAAGTTCTGTTCGTCACAAACGCCACGTGTAATCAAAGAAATATTTGCTCTGTATTGCTCATTTTGATCAGTTTTTATGAATCACGCCAAGGAATGTGTTGTTCGCCATGTGTGGTGCGACTGGGTTTATTCCTCAGAAAAAGAAATGGCTCTTGTTTGATTAAGGTGTTATTCTGATTTTCGTAGGGCTGGCAGTTATTTAAACGAGCACCACGTGAAGACCGTGTGGGAAACTGCATTCAAACTTTTGCAAGAATTTTCCGGACTTATGGCCGACTCCGACCTACAGACACAAATTCACGTTGTATGCCTGGAAGTTATATCCTCGGTTGAACGAATTTCTCCACCGATTTTATCACTGATGCAGGTACTGTAATTATTTTTACCTTTTATTCTTTCGATATGTCGAAATTGTGTATGTTGATGACAGGGTGTATTGCGGCTGGCCGACGTGCGAACGCTTGATATCGCCACAAGGGATCTGCTCATTAAAGTTTGCAGTCGTCATTTTGGTCGTATCCCACTTTCTGTAGCTGTTCCTATGTCTGGGGTGCAACTGGTTTTGCTTGAAACTTGTGAGTTAGGAATTGATATTCAAAATTAGAATTATTAATAGAAAAAATTCGTCTTTGATAAGATGAAAGTCTTCAGAGTGAAAGCTGCTCCGATATCGCGAAAGAACACGTGAGCGATGAAATTGCGCTTGTAGCCCAAGAATGGGTTAATCATATATTTGCGAGGTACGTTCTTGTTTTTGGAGTTCTATTTTAGCTGAGGCATTGCGTAAGTCAAGACCGTGTCGCCTTTTTCCTTGAATTCCAGGCTCGGTACCCGTTCCTCGAGGGAAGCGCTGGAGTGGGCTCGAATTTTACCCAGATTACCTGACACGCTGATACCAACGTCGGAACTGGTTAACAAGCTGCTTTCTGAATTCATATCCAGTAAACAAGGGAACGTTGAGTCCGTTGCCCGTGTCCTCGTTCAGGTGTGTGAATGATGATCCTAGTATTGAGGCGCTGAGCTTCTGTTGAATATCTTTGAATTTGATTGAATTATGCTGAAAATGTGTTTTTGTTCCGTGCGGTAAAAAATCGAGTTCACAGTGGGTCCTCGCATTACGAACCTAATTCGTGCCGGGGTTTGTTTTGTAGAAAAATTCTTTGTGTGTATCACGCATTCCCTAAAGAATAAATTATGAATATTTTAATCAAGTCCCACGATTTTGCAGTCAATGGTGAAAAAGTTAAATTCATCAGAATATAAATAAACATAGGCTCACATACTCTTAAACATAGGCGCACCTACTCTTCTGCTCTAAGTTTTCTCCGCTTTCTTGGTAAAAGGCAGATTATTCACCCCGTTTTCTCTTCCTTTTTCATGAGAATTCAACAATAAAAACGTCGTTGATCTTCACATGAACAGTAAACAGATGTCTCCACTTTAACAAAACGTTTTTATTCTTTATTTGGTTCACGACTTGAGTAAGAGGTTTAAAAGCTAAAAACTGCCCAGCAAAACATGACTGACAAAAGATCGTGTCTGAGGGGAACCGTGGAATTTTAATCCGAAGTCAGCATTTAAAAAATTTCGGAATGCAGAAACTGTTTGGTTAAGCGGGTTATTCTTGCCAATTTCTTGCGCCCGACAAATTTTTTTTAATACGAAATTTGTTCGTTTGGGTCTTTCGTCGTGTGCACTCACTGTGCATTATGCATAAGTAAAAACTGACTTCATATCATATTACCAACAGTCTGGCAACATCTCAATTGCATTTGTCCGAATAATCAGCGCAGATGTTATTTGAATTAGAGAGAAATGAAGCTGTTCAAATCGAAATTGAAGTTATTGCATCATTAATCGAAAGCCGGGTAATAGGAGTTCTCCTTTATTTTTGGATGAAACTTTTTGAAGAGCTTTTCATGTTTTCACGTTAATTACTTCACGTGAAGTAGCGTATATGCATGAATCAGTCGTATGCGTGAAAAATGTCTGCGTCAAACCGCGAAAACGAGTGGCTTTCGAAGGCGCAATTACATGATTTAAAAATTGATTTCTTTGTTTTTTGTGATAAGAAGATGGGCAATGTCAACACTAATTGCCTGTTTTAACTTCTCATATTGGTGTTCGAAAATTTTAATAACCCTCTTATCTGCCTTCCAGCGTGTGTGAATATTTTTCTCCTTATTATGATTTCTAGATTCTCAGGAAGATTTCGACAGATGAAGCCATTGAATGGTGTCTGCTGAGTGTTGGTGCATTCTTGCAACGATCTCCACTACCTGTGGCTCTTTGGTTTGTCACTACTCTTCTTTTGGGAGCCCGAGTCGCCCTGCGTCAACGAGATGATCCTACTGAAACCATTTTGGCAATCTTGCTGGAATGGCATCTATCACGTTCTCCGGAGAATTTCAAGCTCGGAGATTTCTGGATCGTATATATTTCCGTGTCATCATTTCTAACTTTGGTAAGTGAGCTCCTTATTATTAGCCAGGGTGAGTTTTTTTTTTAAATTGAATTTAACTTCCAACGTAAGACCTGCTTTCTGGAAGCTTCTTTTGAGACATTAATGTGTTAGATCGTGAATTAAATTTTCTGCGGGTGTATTCGGCTGAGTTGTTCACTGATCAATCGAACCTGGACGATCTTTCCCTTTTCAGACCATTTTTTGGTTTACAAATTTGCTCTTTTTCACGCGATGGAAAAATCCGGGATATACGTGAAAGTAGCGAAAATAGTTCCGTTACTGAAGTGTTGAGAACTATCTCAAGTGTCACGCGAAATATTTCTTCACCGATCTTTTTTTTATTCGTCAAGTTGGATTACTCCTCAGGCTTCTCTTGTTTGATTCGATCCTATCAACTTTTATCTTCATTAGCTGGACGCGAAAGAAAAAGTTGACATGGTGGCGAGTGCTTTTGCTAGTGTCTGCGTGGACAGGGACCCAGAAGACGACGAATTTATGCCATCGCTTACCCGTCTGCTTACCGTTATAAAGCAGAATCTTTGAAAGGAAAAACACATTCGAATTATGTTCATGATGCATGGAACAAAAGGAAAATGGAATTTGTATTCATCAATGTGCCTAAATTCTGTGATGCGCTTTCCCCCGAGGACCCGGAAGACTGGAATTGAATTTTGTCTATTTCGGTTCAATTGACCGAACTAAGAAAGTATGAGCTTCGAAAGTGTTTCTAATGAAAAAATCAAACGATTTCTGCGTCTGAATGTACGAAATAAAATCGTACGAAGCGAGACAGTATGCTCAGTTTCCTTGAAAATTTCGCCGTGTCTCGAATCATGTCGCCCTCCTCAAAATTTGATTCACTTGCTAGTTCGGTTTCAGTCTCCTTCGCTACTGAGCGAAATAAGGGATTATACTCGTGTAACCAAATCACTAATTGGTGAACCAATTCACAAACTCTTCAGGGAAAGAAACCGTTATCCGTAGTCCGCGCGGTAGAACGTCCCAAAAAATTCTCAGATTGGCTCTACGAAACTCTTCTTGACAGTTAGCTTCACCTCGTTTCTTCGGATTATTTGTGAGAATGTAATCGTTGCATCTTCCTAGTTTCAGACCGGCTTTTAGTATGGATTAATAATTTGTGTCTGTCCTGATTCATGCGCAACTAGTGTCGCGATGGAACAAATTTTGCTGGCGATCGCGCGGGAGCTCACCAGTTCGCGACACGCTCAGCTCAAAGCAACTTTGCACGAAGTCTCGGGTAAGTTTTCATGTTTCTTGAAGGCATCAAATTCTACTGAACCCGTTCCCCTTTTGAATGCACATTTTCTTGTGTATACAGAGTTTCTCAAGCAAAATGAGGAAAGCATGATGCGTGAGCCACCGCATTTGCTGCGCGTTAAATGCACAGACGTTTTCAAGAATACCTTGCGAGTGGGAAACGCGAAGGTTTCCGCATTGACTTCGCAAGGTTTGCAGGTGAATGCATTTATGATTTGAAAGCGAGTTCAGTTTGAAATCCTGAATGAATGTCGTTAAAGTTAATCTAGGTAATGCCCTCGGGATTTATCCGTGAAATGAGGAATTTCTTCTAAAAACTCGACCAATTTTCTCGTCCTCCATGTATGGACGACCGTTTACGTTGAATATTACGGATCACAGGCACTATTGCTGTTTTGTATATGCACAAATTTGTTCATGTGAAAGAAGGAATCACGGCATCTCTGGTTTCTGAGAACGCTAAGAGCGGAGAATAAACGTTTACGCCATCTCCTACTTGCAAAACGATGTTTACTTTATGAAGTGCTGTTCGAACCCTTGTCTATACTGAATTTCGGGATTCCGTGGATGAAAACTAACTTTGTTCCATATTCTTCTTCATTTCATGTTCAGAAACTTTTGCGGGAGGACAGATTCGCAGATGCCAAAGCTGACCCTCGGAAAGACGAAGAGCTCCTTGGTTTACGACTTCCGTCGCAAATAATTTCGTGCATGTCCGGTGCCATTGGAGATCAGCCCTTGGAAGTTCAACGAGATCTGATGCGAGTTCTGCTGTGTATTGCTTGTGACTGCGCGTGGGCTTTCAGCTATCGAGCGCTTACTGAAGAATACTCAATTTGCCTATCTGCTTTCGCCGGGAATCGGAAGGACGTTGGAACTGCCAGAAGCCAGGTCCAGACCGCAGCTCAGACAGCATTTTGTCAGGGATTGCGGGCATACGCACAGCATATTGGTAATGGACAAGTACAATACATGAAAAAAATTCTACAGGTTTATATTCCCTTTTCGAATCTATTTTCCTTTTTATGGCAACTGATTGCCTGCGACAAAAATGTCATGTAATGAAAATTATATCTCGAGTTGCACGAGCAAATTTTGTTTGTCGCTTCGCGAATACAAACGAGTTTTCTTATGATTTCATTTTAGTCGTAGGTCGATCCCTGGGAATCATTGAAGGCAGTGCAGATATCAGAAGCAGCTCTGTTGCGCATCATTTATTCTTTTTATTCCAAATTCGTCTGACAAATGTCCCGTCAGCTTGACAATCGTTCTGGGCACCGTGCAATGCAAAAAATGTGTTTCTTATACCGTAATTTATTCGAACGAATTGTATATATTTTCTGTTGCTCATTTTCTTCGCTTACCAAGGAGGCTAACACATTCCGAATAACTCAAATAAGATGAGAAGATAACTTTGTTTCAATCCTTTTTGCGACATCTAAAGACTGTTATGATTCGCAAAATTTGTCTCAAAACATTGCTTCATACATTTCGATGAAATAGATAGATCTTTCGCCCAACTTACTGTATTTAAAATTTTCCAGAGCCACGTTCAGAATAAATTCTAGTCGTGAAAGCTAGTTTACTGCTGAGTTCCATCAAAATAATTGCGCCTTACTTCTTGATTGAGAAGAAGACATATTTTTAATAGTATTTTAAATGTGTCATGTAAAAGTAATCTTCCGGGATTTTGCGTGCAATTTTCCGAGTATGCGATTTCCCCGATTTCCTCGTATCAGAAAAAAACGAGCGAGCTAAAGGAAAGTTGACCCCACTTGTAGGCGATAATTGGCGCGACAAATCAGAAGAGGACGATCATTGCGCTCTTCTGGACGTGCTTCCTCTCGTGAAGTTCCTCTCCATCAAAACAAAGGACTACGCGGAACGCTGGAAGGCATCCTGGAAACGGAACGACGACCTCGATTCTGAAATGATATCGAGAGTGGAAGAAGACGATTCAGCTAGTCCGTGTCCGTACGATGCGCTCGTTTTCACGTTAGAAGGGCTGAATGCGTTGCTGTCAGCCATTCACAAGGAAACAGCCAAGGAGTGTCCCGTATTCATTAGTGTACTGTGGCAACATTGCTGTCCTGCTCTGGTTGGAGCACTTGGGACTCCTGTTGATGACGCGGGCGTCAGGAAACGCAGCTCGGGCCGCCTAAATGGGGCAGATGCTCTGAGTTTCGGGCTTGGATCCAGCGGTTGGAATTCAGACGTCGGCAAGTGCAGTTGGAAGCATGCGAAGATCGTGTACAGGTGAGCGACCAACTTCCTTTGAAATGATTTATTGTGAGATATTTTTATGTGGACCATCTTACATCTAATACTACTGTAAAATTATTTGTAAAGGAAATATGATACCGCGTTCGAATACGGTTTTTTTTTTGCTGTATTTATCCTGCTTACTACAGTTCGTTCATTTATGTATACTTTTATTCGTTCATACTGATGAAAGTACTGTTTTTAGTGATTTCACCAGATAAGTTATACACGAATTCAGTGATGAAAGATAGTCATAGAGTATACGCGAGAAAAAATTCACACATGCAAGCAAGATTCCCTGTTTTTTAATAAGGTACTAAAATTCCAGTAAACTGGTCTATAACATGCTATGGGTTCTCATCTGCAGAGTGTCTTAAAATGAGGGGTAGCAAAACAACAACTCTAGGAATACAATCAAGGTTCAGGAAAAATAAGTCTTGAAATGTTCATGCGTTGAAAAAAAGGGGAAAAACGTGTCAGAATAGCTAGAAGAAAAGATGAGGTGCTCAGATGATCATGCTGTAGTACGTGCTCTTTTTTTTTATATCCTGGAGCACCCGTTCTTGTGTGCTTCATTTTTGCGTTTCATTCCCTTCTTCAATATTTCGTGTAAATTCAGTGATGATTTCTCCAGTACTTTTTTTCTTCGTCTCTTAAAACTTCTAGTATTGCTGGGACTTTGGTGGGATTGGTGGCTCAGTTCCAAGTTATGAGGCCAGTGCTGGAATCGCTGTATCATCGGATGCTATTTTATCCCGCTCCAGAACAGCGTGTGGAAGCTGTGAAAGCTTTAAAAGATGTGAGAATAATCATTTTGGCTCGGAGTGAACCGATTGCGTTATGCATGAATATTTATCGGATTTTTTTTTCCAGTTGGTGAAAAATCCCGTGTTATTATTAAAGTACGCCGGGCCATTTTTGGTGGAAGAAGACGGTGGCGCTGAGGATAGAAATCGCGGAGATGAGTTGGCTTTATTGCTCATGTGAGTAAAACGAGTATTCGAGGAACACTGCTTTTCATTTTCATTTGACTAGCGGTGGTATTCTAGGAAAGTTCTAAATTTTTAATGAAACATTTTATTTACTTTTTCTACTTATAAATTTCGTTTGACGGAAGACACGGGTTAAATGCTGGCTTTTGGGAAGCTCGTAATATCAGTATCATTGAAGAAATATTTCTCCGTGCGTGTGATCAGAAAGGATTTCGCAGTCGCGTAACCGCTTTACTACTGGAAATGCGAATGTGTTTACTTTTTGCGGGTCGCTTATTTACAGGGCAGGGGGAAAAATGGCGTTATGGTCCGTTCTTAAGAAAATTTCTTTCTTGCTGAAGGTCCGTTCATGCGAGTGATGAGATGGCAGCTAGAGCCGCGTGCTTTGTGGGACAAGCAGTTGAGCTCGTGACATCGTTGTTGGGATCCTTGGAAGCATTGTGCACAGCGGGGGAAAGCGACCAATTGGTCATTCCAGAGGAATACGTTGTAAAAACGAATTCGCTGTACCCGACGATCCTTAGTGCCGACTATGCAGGTAGGAATAAATGTAGACTCTCTGTATAACAAAAATCAAGAGACCATAAAAAATCTTCGTGGAGGTAATTCCGTTGTAAAGAACATGGATAACATGGCGAGAGAACCCTAATGGGCCGGAAAAAATCGTTATACTGTACAGAGAATATCGTTGAAGACAAGATCTTTATGGAGAGAGTCCTCCTGTATTAATTGGTAACCATAGCGGCGCTTTCACAAAAATGTATCGTCGGATATAGGTCCTACGACTTACAAAGGGTGGTTGTCGAAGCCCCAAGACATTGACGGGATAATAGAAGACAAAGAAGCGTCATCCGTGGCTTCGAGCGATGATGAATCCATGAGCCAAGCTGATGATGACGCTGAAGTTGAACGAGACTCACAAGACGAAAGTGACGATGGTATTATGGCTGACGATGATCCGCGTATGTCGAGTCGTTTGCAAGCACTCCGAGGACGACGTGACACTGTGTCGACGCGAGGGCGTCGTCCGTTGGATTTCTATCACGACAGCGAGCGGAGAAATGCTCGGAAGTTTGCCGATCACTTGAAAAGTCAGGTGTTGCCAGAAATACTGCCCTTGAGGTCCTGTATTGAAGTGGATGAAAAGTTACAGCGCTTCGCGTCAGAGTATGCGTGTAACGCTAGTGATCCGAGAGATCCCGAACGAGCGGTATTGAATGCCGACGGGGTTTATCTCGCAACGTTTTCATGTTTGTCCCTGAGTTTGAAGCTGTCTTTGAACGGGTTTTATGAGACTGATGCCGATATCGCCGTGCCTTTAACGGAGGTGAGTCCATTGGGTGTGTTTCAGGGCATCCGACTTTTTGAAAATGAATCAAGGTGTAAATATTTATGTTTCTCGGCAACTAACACATCATGCGAATTTCTTTTTCTTGGCGCATTGCCGTTCTTACATTTTTAACGGTAATTATTTTCGTTAGAAAATAATGTATAAATCAAGAAAACACGATTTATAGGAAAATTAGCAAATGTCATTTGAACTGCGTAGAACTATCTAGACTGAGAATTCTGGAATCTGGGAAACTGCATTTAGTTTTTGTGCTTTCAAATCGTAACTGCATTTTTAAATTTTTAATTCAATTTTGTTTCTTGTCCATTTCATATGTTATAGCCAAAAATAGCTGATCAACATAGTCTGCCAAAAAAGAAAAAATATAAGTTTTATGTCAATTTTCAAGGCACAGACATCCAATCATGACTATAATTGCAGTCAGTCAATTTATGATCGAAGTCTGAAATTTAAAAATTTAAGAATCAACATCAATCTAGTTCAGGGCGCATTATTTCTCTCACTGATTTTACTTAATTTCTGGAAAATTAAGTGTCCAGATGCGAAAAATGTTAGAATCGAAGTTTAAAATTGCCTCACTGAGGGTCGTACGAATCGTACCCATGTAGAAAAGGAATCTACAATTAGCTGTCCATGCTTGTGGAATTTCTTTCCGACCAAATTATGTTTCCCTGCATTCACAGTGTTTCTAGACACAGTACTGCAGTTTTACTGCAGCAAATTTTTCAAAAATAAATTTTTACGATAGCTGTGGCTACCGTTATATGATTTTTAATGTGAAAAAATATATTCAAGAGCAATTGAATCGAAGTTTCGTTAAATCGAAGTCTAAATCCAGTTTTCTGAAACTGTAAATGTTGATAAATGTTGAAGATTTTTGGGCCACCCCGTGTGGCAGCGGAGCACATTTAACAATCAGACGAACCCCAACTAAATCTAACCTGATCAAGATCTAATGCCAAGTTGAAGGTTTTAAGAGAGAATCTGGCTTCGGTTGCAAGTGTCATCGCGTAGCTTAAACCCCCAATGAAATGAATTTGTTCAGGAGGAGTTCATCGATGAGGTGCAGTGCAGTGGAGGAGTGTTGGTGTATCTTTCTTCCACGTGGTTGGCGGAGCTCTATCAACTAACACTTGCTCGAAACTTTCTTGAAGGATGTTCTCATTTGAGCGCTCTGACATCGTTACTAACCGGTGTGGATCTTTCCTAACAACTAACTGTATTCAATCATTTGTTTTCCCTAATCAATAACTTTCGAAGAAAAGTAAGAATTAATTCCTCGTGTTTTTGCAGATTTGGATGGCCTTGGGCTGCGAGATGTGGGTTCTCAAATGCTGTCGGATTTTAGAAAACTCATAAAAAACTCTGGATATTTTTTGGGATCAGCTCCGCCTTCAAAGCAAGCAGGTAGGCATAGCATGCGTTGTTTTTTTTCATTTACCCAGTCATTTATTTTACCGAACATTTATGAAGAACCCCTGTATTAATGTATAGGCATGAAGCTCGCCAGAAGAATGTTGACTGGTACTTGGAGTTCGGTACTTAGCATCTTGTCGAGGGGTGTTGGGAGTTCATTAGATGACGACGGGACTGACCGCAAGAAACTAAAACCCCGTGATGTTGTCGGAAAACTGAAATCCAATCTGGAGCTGCTTGCAAACCGGAAATTACCCGTCAACTACGAGAAAACTCTCGTTGATTCCCTGGAGGGTTTACAGAAAGCCGCCCGTTTATGTAATATATTAGGTAAAAATCTATATTTGTTCACATATCCGTCCCAATTACAGTTAAATTAAAAAAAAATGACTTCCTGGTAGCTCGCTATACCATTAAAGTTTTCTCTTCAGTTTTCGTGTCGTCAGCGCTCTATCTTCGATTTTGTAAAGGAGTAAAAGGTGGTTTTGCATTTTTTTCGCAACGCTCTTGGGTCTTGCCGATATGGAATGCGAACGTATCTGGTTACTTTCAAAGTCACTACAAATGTTCTCTAATCGTTCAATTACAGTATTATTCAGAATAATTTGGTCTTGAACCAATGAACGAACCTTTGCTTGGAAGATTTCGATTATAACAAGAAAGCGTATTTGCGATTTTTTTTTAATCTAGAAAAATATTTACGATGTATTTGAAATCCTACAGAAAAGAACTCTGCATTCTATTCCATATACTGTAAAATTAAAAGAAAAACGAGACGTGGCGAGAAAATCATTGTTTGACTTGCCGTGACGAAAGTGTCGGATTATAGTTGCTTATTACCATCCTTCTAGGCTTTCAAGCCGAATGTGGCGCTGTGTTCGACTTGCTTGCGACGGCATCTTGCTCTGCAAATATCAACAACAACCGTGGGGTGTTCGCAAAATTTTGGCGCAAAACTTCGAGGACAATTCTGGAGAAAGACAAGAATAGCAATGACGATGAAAGCACTCCTAGTGGACTGAGTTCTGCCCAGTTGCTAAGCGTTGAAGTGATGCTCACGAAAGGACTTGAACTTGGCAGTCATTGCCCAGACTGCTGGCCGCATCTGTTTCGGTGAGCTTCTAGGTCAGGATTAGTTCAGAATTACTGTACTGTACTGTAGTATGATTCAGGATGTCCATATTGTTCCTCGTCTCCACGATCAATTTATGTGCAGTTTTAGGCGCGTTCGGTTTCTTAAATTTATTTAGGAAGGTAGTTTCAGAAGTCATTTGTTATTGTTGCCTGAAGTAGGTTCGATTGTTTATACAGTACAAGTATTTTCTGGAATCAATGATATTAAGCATCTGCCCACGTAAAGAAAACGATCACGCAGAAATGCGCGTTACAGCTGTTGCTTAGGTGAGGAAATCTCTGATTAAAAGAAGGACCCTGCAAGAAATGCGTTCTGAAATATTATTTGAAAATCTGGATATATTCATTGACGCGCCGGAGTAGTACAGATGTTCGTCCTGGCTCGTTGGTCTAGGGGTATGATTCTCGCTTAGGGTGCGAGAGGTCCCGGGTTCAAATCCCGGACGAGCCCGACTTTTTCTCTGCATTTCATAAGAGTACACTCGTTCTTGTCTGGCATGGACATGATAATACAGTACAGTAATCTCTGACGTTATGATCGTATCTGCAGATGCATCGTACATGTGAGCGTTTTAGAAACAAATGTCTTCCATGCAACCGGCGGAGATACGAAGTCGTGAGTAACGTTTTTGTCACCTTGCATTGATAGAAATTATGATTTCAAGCGAATTTTTTCGATCCTTATTTTTCCTTTTCCGTCAACTGTGCCGTAATTTCGCACGCATTGTCCAAATGCATCACGTAATGAATTGTATTCTAGATATGTATACCTTTCACCCTGCACGAAATTTATTCAGCGAGGTTTCCGTGGATGAACTGGACGGTGGACTCGCACTCCCAGCTATTAGTCTTCCAGTTGAACATTCCAGAAGGGTTGGATCTTTATCGGTTCAAGTTGAACGGTTAGTTCAAATTCTCGGCACTTCGAATGCATTTGGATTTTACGTTATCGTTTTCAATGAGTTATTCTCGCATGTTCACCAGGTTATTCAGTGACGCCGCATCCAAGTTGAACATGAAGGCGCTTCTTGAGTTCACGACGGCGCTGGTTGTTGCCAGTCGACGCCAGTTGTTTGAAATACCGCACAAAAGGAAGAATCATAAGCTGAACAAAAATCAAAAGCAGGAAATCAATGCCTCTCTGATGCGAGCTGTTAGTGATGTTCTTCTGAAGGCTGTCAAATCCGGTCGTCCTCTTGTTCACATCATGAAAGCTTGGAGCATCGCTGGTCCACACTTGATGGAGGTACTTTTTTTCTTTGGAAATCTGTACCTTTGTTTCTCATCGATTTGATCAAATTTTAAAGCCAAGAAGGTTTCCTGCTTTGTTTTCTTGATTTTTAATGAAAAGTTGTGTGAAAATTAAAATTCATCCGGGTATTTCAAAAAGTTTTCGCCCGAGAAAAAAAAACCAGTCTTAATCTTCATTTTTCTTCCAGGCTGCCTGTCATTCGGATGCTAAAATTGCGAAGGAGGCCGTTTCTGCTATTCACGATGTGGTGTCTTTGTTGCTGTCCGACCAATCCGAATTGCCAGGGTTCCACTTCCAGGAAGCTTTGTTTAAGCCATTCGAAAATTTGCTGCAACTTGAAATGATCGAAGCTCATATTCAAGATCAGGTTCGTCGTATGATGTGTTTAGTACTTTCTTTACCGTTCTCAAAGAGTGTGTGTGTTTTGGAAATCCTGTAATAATGTCCTTCCATCATTAGCACTTCCGCCGTTCACCAATGTCATGTTTATCGACACGTGATTCAGTATAAAGTGAATTACAGCTGTGTGGGGCGGCGCTTGGATTATGGACTGTGATTCGCTGAATCGAGCTTATCCCAGTATTTAATTTTTTTCAACGTGTCATGTGTACCACAGATTGTGAGCTCAATTTGCGAATTCATCGAGTGCTACGGACCTGAAGTGAGATCTGGGTGGAGACCACTGTTCGGGGCGTTGCGAGCTGTGAAATTGTCAAGCGACTTCGAATCAGCGTCGAATGGATCCATATCTGGAGTGGACAAGGTTTTATGCGACGTTTTCTCGGCTTTCTTCGGGGCGGAGAGTCCTCAAGTGGTGGCAAATGCAATGCTGGATGGCATTTTGTGTCTCATGAAACACGTCACCCGGGATAACGAGGGAGAAGGATTTAATGCTCTCGATTGCTTGGACAGATGTTCGGAACTTTTGACAACGTACCACGGAATGGCGTCTCCACCAATTTTCCACTCCGCTCACCGGTACGATTTATATATGTTTGTGCATCTTTTAAGATTTTAAGTTGTTTTTCTTGGGAAATTAGGCTTAGTGTTGGCTGTACTCTAAATTGGTTTCTGCACTTGTGAGGAAGTAAAAAATTCACATTTTCATTTTCTAATTTTTCTTGTTTCTTCAACTGATCCGATCAACCGTGGCGTAACGAAAAAAACTGTTTAAAGGAGAAACACTCACAGCACGACGGTGTTTTAGGAAATTTTTGTTCCGACTTCGCAGTCAGGCGAGAATGGAGTAATTTTAAAGGAAATGAAATAGACCTAATTTAGTGTTTTTTACTCTTCAATTTTTATGTTGGCTACTGCGAGGAATCCTTCTCAAAGTAGAGGATGAATCGAAATAATCCTTTCAGTTTCAATGATCTTATGGAAATCTGTTGAAATGTAGTATCCAGGATGCTTCATAATGCGAATGTTGCATCAAAACTATCATATCTACCTTAAAATGAAGTTTGTGAGTCGATATTTTCCGAACCCCTGTAAAATCAAATATAGGAAGCAAAGCCTCTGTTGAACATTTTCTTTAATGGCAGTCCTGATTTGAAAAATTCTTCACTTGTAAGTTTAAATTTTTTCACGATTTTTACGTTCAGTACCAGTATCAAAGGAGTTGCCGTGATCGGAAAATATTTCATTCCTCTTGAATTTGTTGGTCGTCAAAGATGGTAGTCCAAAATATTTCCCAGTTGCTTGATCTGCACTATTCTGTAGCATTCGGGTTGTGGGCAAATTCATGAAAGATGCAAGTGTGGAAGGTAAACATTTCCCCGCAGTTATGGTGTGGACTCGCAACTGTTCGTTTTTGATCGATTTTAGTCTATGGGAGAAGCAATTTGAACATTGGTCAGGAAATTTAAAAATTAACTGAAGTACCTCTTGGTTAAAATTACGTCATTTTTCATCTATAGTATTTGTATTATCATGGGGTAGCTATCCGGTTACTGCCTTTTATTAGTTACTGGACAGTATTGTCCTGTAGTTCTCGGTTTAATTCATGATTTCATTCTGGTTGCGTTCAGAGTTAAACCGCCGTCAGTCCCGAAGTTCGTGTCAACAGTAGTCGAGTATCGGGATGCAGAAATCTTCCGTCCAGTGAGACCCTCGCGATCCCGCTGTTGCGATAACGTTCAAGACGAAATAATGGACGTGGACGAAGCCAGTGTGGACGAATTCGTCCTGGAAGAGGTCGTCGAACAAAACACCACTACAGGAAAGAAAAAGCGGAAGAAATTCGGTTACTCTCTGGATTTCTCATCATTCGAAGATGAAGTGCTGAACCGGAGAACAGCAAAGCTTGTCAATTGCTTTATGGCGGGTTGTGGTGACGGCGTCACTTTGGAGTCTTTGGACGATGGAAGTGGAATTTACTTCATTTGGTACGAGGAACTTAAAGTTTCGCTCAGAAAGTTTGGCTTGGAATTTTTTCAATTCAACAATGACTTATAGTTGCGTTGGGTTTGTGACTTTTTCTCTTTAGGTACGCATTGATAGAAGGGATGATGGGAAGCATACCACGTTGCACCAAAAAAAATCAATCCCGGGTTCTGTTCGCTCTATTCGAAATGTTGGAAAAGCTTTACCAATTACGGGGTAAGAATTCCATGACAACTCTTGATCGAATTTCAATTCTCCGCATCGAGTTTCTGGCTGTAACCATAAATTCTCTTATTCTTTGATGTAATGCTTCTTGTGATGAAATAATTGTTGAGAAACCCAAAGCCCGCCTATGGATGGGTTGTTCTTGATTTAAATCGTTAAAGTTAAAACGGAAGATGAATTTCATTTCGAGCTTTGTTGAGTTAATGACCAAGTATTGTAGCGGCTAAATATTTTTGGTTTTCTAAAAACTGCATGCATTGAGTCTAATTTCACGAATTTTTCGTCAACTGTTGCTTCAACTTCTAGACGACGGAATCTTCGCGGTTTATTGCGTGAATCATTTGGTTCTGCCGTGGTGTCAGGACTGGCTTCGACGCCATTCTCCGCCGGTCATTCCTCCTCCGCCATCTCCGAACACCATTGACATTAATAAATCGACAATTGAAGTCGGCGATCATTCATTTGAGCCCAAAGAATCATCAGAGGCTGACTTTCTTGCGATGTTCAAGCAGTGCGTTGGCTTGATGACCGATCTGGTGTCTACTTACGTGAGGAAATCTTCAGGTAAGCTTGCAAGTTTTTCAATTCACTGTTGAGTTTCGTTATAAAAGCTCCTCGCAGGGCTTTTTTGAAGTGAAATTAACTCTCGTAGTTACGAAATAAAGTGAAATCCCAAGTGTTACCACTACTGTATTACTTTTTCACCTCACAATATAAATGATGAGAAGTCACGTGAAGTTCGGTGAAACTATGTAATATCCCTGCAATTCACTGTTTCTCTATTTAAGCTCCACGCATGGCTTTTTTTTAAATGAGGAATCAAGTTTTTCAATTATAAAATAATTTTCAAGCACCAAAAGCTCTCCTAGAAATGGGCTGTACCCTAGTTGAAGTCCTCATTTCCATCATTATCATTTTTTTATATTATGTTGTAGATGATTCGAAGTCCCTCGAGGTTCTGGTGAACCAGACGCTGGTTATCCTGGTAGAACTGTGTAATCACCCGAAGGAAAGTGTGGCCCGAATCGGTTGTGCTTGCTTCCGTCACCTCACGGACACCGCTGGCCCTTTTCTGACGCGACGGGAATGGGAATTGGTAGCTGCTGCGTTATTCCGGGCCCTGGCCCTTACCGTTCGCCCCCTGGCGACAATGATTGACGCTTTCAAACCGGGCTCCACATCTTTCTACGGCGACGTGGGGCAAATTAAGGTTATGGCTCGCAAGGACTTGTCAACCTGCGAAAACACACAGTTGCGACGCCTTACTACACAGGTTCGAGTTGATAACGTTTTCACTCGAGTACCACACGCAGCGTTTTCTCAAAATTTAGAGGAAAAGAGGGAGATGCGCGTCGTATGCGGATCCAATATTTTAAAAGCGAATTTTAGAATTTTAGGTGAGTATCATACTAGAATCCGATGGAAAATTTTGGATCCATTCAAACAAAAAATTCAAATACAGGTAGACTTTCTCTGCCACGATTTTGTCTAGACGATTTTCTCTGCGCAGCGGATTTATTTTTTGTGTGGTCCCATTCTCCCATAGATATCTCGACCCGTGTTGGTTTAAATCGGATGTACCGTCGTGTACGTCATACCTCGGGATAGGATTTTTTCTAAATTCTAGACAGAAGGATCCGGGTGCTCGTTTTACTCGAGGACGCGTGGAATAGTTTTTACCCGAATAAATACGGGTGATAGTCAAGTGGTCACGTTGGAGGTTGTGATCTGCATCATAGAACATTTATCTTTTACTGAGGAGAGAGAAGGATTTCACATTTATTGAAGTATCGATGACTTTTTATGTTCATGGGGTTCAGTATGCAGTTCCAGTTTGAAAAAATTATTGAACATATTTTTTCTTTTTTAAAATTCATGTTTGAAAAATGCGCTCAGAGTTCCAGGCTGTTGAGGGTCAGCATCAAAGAACTCAGGAAATTGGTGCTCAATTTTTATTTTCTGCAGGTATTTTTGCTGGAAAGCCAACTAATTCAGGAGGACGTGCAGGATCTGTGGAAATCCTCTGGAAAGGCGACATGGGCTAGACCAACTCCAGTCCAACTTGACGATGGGTCGGAAAGTGAGGAACGGTCGTACGTTTTCCTATTGTGTCCTCCGTGTAACTCGACTTGCTGTCGAGAAAAGGGGTCGATAGATAATATGGACGAAGTTTTGGGCATGGTGCGAGTGCCTTTTTCTCACTTGGTTGTCGGACTTGTTGCTCACCAGTTGTTGCTTCAAAATGTGGCCAAATTGCTGCTATCTGGCTCTGAGCGGATTGTTCATAGGTAAGATATGCTCGTGGTGGATGTCGAATACCTGCCTTGCCGAAATTCATTCCTCATTCTGGACAAACTTCGCACAAATGCGGGTTGTGTCGTTTCCGGGCCAAATGGAGGCCGAGAGTTAGTTAGTTCATAAGTTTTTGGCCGTAATTTGAAAAAAATGCAACATGACTTTTTGGATTTTAAAATAATAAGCTATGCTCCGCATCCCTTCATTATTAACCTCATTGTTCAATGTTATCTAGTCGATTAACTTTCGAATACCTGTAATAAGAATTCATAAACCAAAGCATTGCTGAAATTAAGCTGTATCAGGGAATGTTAGAACCCTTCCTTTGATGTAATGAGAGCCTGGAACACATCGAATTCTTGACGTAATAATATCCTGTGTGAGAAACGTATCTTTTCATTTTCTTAGTGAGACATACATTATTTTCTGCAAGGTCTCCGTGCTTCTGAGTGCATGATTAATGGACCCACGTATTTTTTGCAGTGGAGCGTGAACACTAGAAAAATGTAGAAATGATTCCGTGATTAATGAACAATTTATTGAACCAACATGGTATACCTTTCAACTGAATGTATGCGCAAACACGACCGCTCTCGAATCAACGAAATGCGACGATATTCTGTTTTGATTGATTTTTTTTTTGTGTTTCTGAATGATGCCTTGTCACATTTTGAAATTTATTTTTTCTGACTTTCAAAAAGCCTTGCCAAAACTTGTCTGGCCGACATATCTGAAATTAGGCGGAACCCAGGAGAAAGCAGATCCCGTTATTTGGAGTTCCTCGCCGAGCCAGAAATTAATGTTCTCATGGAAGCTTTGAGGTGCTCCCAAGCAATCTCCATGGCTTTTGATGATCGTCCGGGTCTCAAATTTCTTCTTCAAAAAGTCGGAGGGTTACGCGTTGCAAGTGAGTGAAAACGTTTCGTTCATTCGACGTACCAGATAGAAAAATAAATCTGATGGATTTTTGTGGAATAGCAAAGCTTTGAGGAGCATCACATTAACGTGGATTTTCCTGATCGAATGTATAGTACAGTACTTCTATTCAACTTTCCCTTTATACTGTGTTTACGCAAATATTAGTCATGCTTAGATTATTGTCAGCCAATCCAGGAAAATGTAGCTTTGTGTGGGTCGGTGACATTCGACTGTTTTGAACAGAAACATGCGGTCTTCGCCCGAATGAAAAATTTTCCTTTATTTAGTGCGTGAACTCCCATTAATTAAATTAAAGCGTTTTTGAGTGAAAACCAATGACGTGAATACCCAGTCGAGTGATGTTCTGTGTTGCTTTGCTGCCTATAACTTGGGAGTGTCATCCGCTTTTTTTTTCGCAGGCAATTTGTATCGTCAATCAGGAGCAGCCTGGACAGTGAGATTTTCGGTTGCAATCGAACGTTTTCTATCGGCGATCGCCACCGATGCTGGCGTTGAAAATTCATTCATAATCGCTGGTGGAGTCCGTGCAGCCCTCGGTTCAGATTTGAAAAAAAAGAACACCATTGTTTCTGAACAAATCGAAAGCGATGCAAAGACCCCGGAAGCACCTTCAAACTGCTTGCCAGAATCAATCCTTCGCGCAGTTTTCGATGTTAGAGACTCGTTCCGCTGTGCTGTTGAAGCGTATATTGACATCGTCGAGGAGGATTGCAAGTAAGCCTATATATCGACGGCGGATTTTTTTAAATGCCCTCGTGCTTCTGTTTTTGGTTCCTACCATTGAAAAGGAAAAGACGTATGTGATTGGATTATTGTACGTGCTGTTTCTAAATCTGTATGAAGATCATGATCCATTGACATCTGATTTCCAAGAGTATTTTTGAATTTCAATGTCAATTCAACTGGATTTTCGATTAAATTCTGGAAAACGTTCCAGAGCGACTGCCTCTGAAGCGATCGTGAAATTCTTCGCGTGAAAATTTGGTAATTTTTCCAGAAAATTTGACTACAGGTGGACTTTCTCTGCAACAATCTTGTCTGCAACGATTTTATCTGATAGCGAGTTTTTTCCCATAGGGTTCTCTCCCCATGTTATACGTGTTCTATACAACGTAAGTTTATCTTCTGCGAATTTGTTTCTAGTCCCTTGAGTTTCGTTGTAGAGAGAGTCCACCTGTACTGTAAATACTGAATCTGTTTAATTCCTTCTTTTCAATTGTTTTTACTTCAAGAAATTTTTGCTCAATTAAAAACTTGATCAAAAATGATAACCAAGTCAAACTATCGTGCTTTAAAGCTTTGAAAAGCATATACTTCCTAGCTAACCCCATGCCTGGCCTGATCGAATTGAAATCAAAGCGACCAGAGCATAATCAAATGTCTGGTTATATATTGAATTTGATCAGGGATCCAGGCCTTGAGAAGCTTGACAGTGAAGAGTTGAGCAGGGTCGTACGCGATTGGGTGCAGGTTACCTCTACTGAAAAATCTTATTAATGTTCCAGTGAACCGGAACGACCAGGTGGCGGTCAAGGAATATTTTTCCTGGTTTCTCGTCCCGACGATTTGCCTGTGTTGGCCACCTTGTCGAAGTCGCGAAAAAGTGATGAAGCTTCCGCTGTGACGCCTGAAAACGTCGATAGTCCTCAAGAATCAGGTCCCGAAATACAACCCGAGGCAGGGCCAGTTTTCGACAATGAAAAAACTCAGATTGAGGAGAAAGTTTACGATGTCGTCACCTCTGAGGATATAGAAAATTTGAGACGAACGTATGCGAAAAGGAAAATGGCGTGGAGTTTCCGTCAGCAACCCGACGTGAATAATCGATCGAAAAAAGGAGAAAAGTTGTCTCCTGCGTCTGACGAGCATCGGGTTTCCAGTGATGTTAAAGAAGAACGTGAATCGTCAATTCTAAAGGTGAGTTTTTCGGTGTTCTGATTTCTCGCAGCTGGAAAAATTTGGGAATCCAGCAGTTTGAGAAAGTGTATGGACGCTACGCCTCGATTATTGCCAAGTAATTCAACGTCATCGCCGGTATGTGGATTCTAACCCAAGCGAGAAATTCTGGAGTTTTGTGATCAGTTCCACGTGAACAGGACTGCTTTGTGATCTTAATTTTTTATATTGCATTTGATGTCTTCTTGAAGTCATGTCCTTGTCTGGGGTCGACTAGGCTTACGAAATTCTCTTCTTCTTTCTATGAACCCTGTTCGTTGTCTCAGTAACGTATCTTTATTTGGCAGGACAAGGATGCAAAATTGAGCGTTTGGAGCGAAATGCTGACCTCGGCTTTTGACCTGCTTCAGCAGACATCTGATGATCAGTTCCGTTCCTTGTTACCGTGCGTATTCCCGTCAGTCCTAGCTTTAGTATCGCATGCGGTTGATTTGCCATTTCGACAAACAGTGGCAGATTTCCTTCAGAGAGTTTCCAACGTTTACGGTTTCTCGCCGGATGCGTGAGAACAAATCGATCGTTGTCAAATCATTGTTGCGGACCTTGGAATTTTCGGTAGATGATATTGACAATTATTTTTTCTCGTGTGAATCAATCGTGATTTTTCCTTGAAGTCCAATCGCTTCAATCGCAGTTGAAACCAAGGATTCCTGTTCTTCTTTCGGTGAAAATCTGAATCGAACGAAGCATTTCCATGTTGTTGCCCGCATTGATTGGGTTGCAATTCAATCTCCATACGAAGAATCGAACTCTAGTCTGCATAAACTAGTCAAGAATGCCTTCCTTCGAAAATATGTTTGTGAGATGAATCTAGTCTTGGGGTGAAAAAAGGAATATATTCTAGTCGGCGTGATGTTTTGATTGGCTTGTGTATCGTTTATCCGATTCGTTCCATGACTTATTCTATGTTGGTGTTGGGAGAGTTGTGAACTTGCTATTTATTTTCAAGGATGTCGGTGAAGACATCAGCTGAGCTTTTTTTTTTTTTATCTACGCTGGATGCCAGGAAAATGTCATGTTTCTTCTGTAAAAAAATTATTTTCATGAGGGCTTATTTTTGTTGAGGATATGCGCGTGTCACGATACTGATACTGTATTTGAAATTCGCCACTCCGTCTGATCCGATGTACATCGCGTTGTTTCGAAGTAATCCTGACATCTGTCAATTCAAAATTCATGTATGAAATTATCTCTTTGGCAATATCAATATACATTGTCGCGTTACCGCGTTCTCTTGAAAAAATATCTTAGAAAATTTTGTCAGGTAACATCGATAATAAACAAAAGTAAGATGTTGAAAGAGGTGATGTCAAATGCTTCCCGATAGCCGAACAATTATCTCTTATGTGTTTTGAATGGAACTTCGCTGCGTGGAGAATTGATTGTAGCGTCTGAAAATCTTTAACGCGAGTCGTTCGATACTACAGTAAGCTTTTAAATTTGGAAAATTTACGAAACCTGGCTTATCTGGAATTCCGAATGGCAACATATGTTTTCCGGCTTGCAGCAGACTTGCGGATTCGTGTTTCATACTAAACAAATGAAATAGTTACCCTTACTTCAAAAATCTGAAAAGCACAAATTTTTTTGAAGCTTGGTTTTCCAGTGTATATGCTAACGTGTGTCCCCTAGCTCTCAACTTGACATTTTCAATGTCGCTGATATTTTTTGGCCGTGATTCAATTATTTAAATTTATTTGCTTGAGGAACACGCAGTTTTCTCTAGTCAGTCGAAAGCAACGGAAAATCTTGGAAGTCAAGTGCTTGTTAAGCAATGCTTTTGTCGGGCAGTTTTCTAGAAATTACGGGGTATCTTTTCGTCAAGCGTATGTGATGCATTCCCAGATTTATTTCTTTTCTCGAAATACAGAGCTTCTAAGGTTGATGTGGACATCGGGGTGAAAAATTAGGCCTAACGTTTAATCCTGTGCGAACCTGTTGTTTATATTTACTGATCTCGTTGTTTTTGTGTTCAGTTGCAGGAAGTGAACCCGAGTCGAATACAGGCCGGATACGTGCGGTTGAAATGTGAAATGAGCAGTTTTCACTGCTTTAGTTTTGTTGACCGATGGTGAATGATCATCAGTACACGCTAGTGCGGACTACTGAATGGCCCCCAGAGAGGTATTCCGATTCTGAAGGCCCCGATTCCGACCTTCTCTCAACGGACACGTCGGATATATTGAAGACTCGCCCTGTGTGGTTCCCCGGGACGAGAACTGATATGACCTCCACTGTTTCCTTGAGTTCGATAAAGAGGTGGCGTCTGTTGCCGGGTCGAAATCGCTATTTCTGTGACGGAAGGATCATGATGGCGAAGCAGACCGGTGTGTTCTACTTCACTGTGGGGCTTATTGTCGTCACGAGCGGATTGTTCTTTGGATTTGAGTAAGTTCTTTTTATGTGAGAAGTGCACCTTTTTCGAGTTCGTTGCCTTTCAGGGAACTCAAGTGTATGGTTACAATCGACCCTCTTCAGGTCGAATTTGAAGGAACCAGCAAAGAAGTGTGACTTTCAGAGGCTTCGAATGAGGAAGGATAGGGAGACTAGGGCTGAAAATTCTTGCTGTACATTATAAAAGAAGAACAATAAAAACTGGTAAACACGCCACCCTCAACAACGATAAGCTGCCACCCTCAACAACCGCCAATTTATTTTTTCTAAATCCTCCCAAGCAATGGAAACCCCGTTAAAACGCCATCCGCCAAAAGTACAGGTATTGACAATTCAAAGAAAAAAGAATTGAATCTGTGACCAAGAATGGTTTTTGAAGGAAACTAGGATTGAACAGGGAAAATGGATCGATGCGAGTCATAGTAATATAATTATTGCGTCTAGTTTTTAAATTTCTTTAATGGGAAATAATGACGTATTCTCCTTTTTCCAGTTGTCCATTTCTTGCCACGAGGATAAATCCGGTCTTGCCCTTGGTTGCAGCAGTGATGTTCTTATTTGTGATGTCAACATTATTCCGCACGAGTTTCATGGACCCAGGAATCATTCCCAGAGCAGATTCAACAGAAGCAAGAGACATTGAGAAACAAATTGGTTTGCATTGAATACTTTCCCTATTGTGCTTGATGAAATGTGAATCACACCTACGGTTTTTTTTCCGTTTTTTGTGTGTTAATATCTCAGAGGTGCAAAACGGTGTTAGCAGTCCGACGTATCGTCCGCCGCCAAGAACAAAGGAGGTTGTAGTGAACAAAGTCAACGTGAAATTGAAATACTGCTTCACGTGCAAAATCTTTCGACCTCCACGTGCGTCGCACTGCTCAATCTGTGATAATTGCGTTGGTGAGTGCGGAAACCCGGATGGTATTCTAAATAATTATGGCATTAATTGTTGTTTCTTTTCGATTCCAGAACGCTTCGATCATCATTGCCCGTGGGTGGGCAATTGCGTCGGAAAGCGGAACTACAGATTTTTTTATATGTTTATTGTATCCCTAGGATTTTATTGCATGTTCATTTTCGCATGCGTCGTCACGCATCTAGCTCTGAGTGAGTGCGAATATTATTCTCCGTCTGTTCTCATTGGAAATTTCATGAAGTGTGTGATTTTCTCCAATTTTCAGTTGTGTATGAGAAGAATCAGAGGTTCTTGGATGCAGTGCAAGAGAGTCCAGCTAGTTTAATCATCGCAATAATTTGCTTCTTGTCGGTGTGGTCAATTCTTGGCTTGGCTGGTTTTCATACGTACCTCATTTTCTCCAACCAAACCACGAATGAAGATGTGAGCATTGTTTTTCCTGTTTTTTATTGTTCCGCGCTTATGCAAATTCATCTCTAATTTTTGGACGAGTTGACACTTCCAAGAGTGGTTTCTTGGATGGTTGGGGAATTACTTACGAGTCGTCACTCTTGTCAAATTAAGCATAACTAACCATTTTGACTCCGTCTTCATGATGTAGTCAAAGTCAGCGATATTGACTGTAGCCAAATTAGGGAATCCTCGCGAAAAACTGAGGCATACGATCGATTTTTCAAATTACTCTATGATTTTGAGACATTTTTCATGAGAAGTTCCGAGGATCACTTATTTCTGTATCGCATCAAGATTTGATTAGAATGGATTTTCTTCTTCAAAGAGTGAAACTCAAAATTTATCAACAGATTTTATCTGCACATTTTTTGTGATCCGCAGTACTTTTGAGAAACCCCTCGTGTAAGCCCTTCACATAATTTTGTCATGGTCTCCACATGGGTCGTCTGAATGTGAAATGTCGGGGTAAATAATGTTAATTTTCTGCCGTACATTTCAAGTCGAGTAGTTCTGCAGGAAAATAATTTATAATAGTATTTGAAAATCTTCATTTAAATTCAGCTTCTGATTCTTCGAATGTGTATGTTTCCGATTTAACAATAGGTACATAAGTTTCCAGTTTACCGTGTTCGTGCATTGTACGACATGAAAAAAGTCCCTGTGCCTACAAAATTAGGACCTATCGTTTTTTGAGGCAAAGCCGTGGAAGCGGTCATGCATTGATTTCAGAAAATCGAGAAATGTGTATTTCGTGTGCATTTTGTTGTTGATTTTTTTTTCCTTTTTTTTGGGTGCTCATTCAAGGAGAACGACATTTTTAAAATTATAATGCATACGACTATGACGGATTTCCATCTGTTCCGCAGATCAAAGGTTCATTTTCCTCGAGGAGAGGGATCGAATTAAAGAATCCGTACTCAAAACCCGGTTTTTGCGGGAACTGTTTCGACATCCTTTGCGGTCCATTCCATCCGTCACTGCTCCGACGGCGAGAGTTGGTTTCCTGGGAAGAGTTCGGCAAAAATGAAGCTGCAGTGAGAAACCTCGACAAGGAGATGAGTGGGGCTCCTGTTGCAGCGGCGTCTATTCCTGCTTCCGGTCCCATGTCGCCCAGTTCCGGCATTCCATCGTCGCACCCGAGTTACGGAACTACCGAGCCTGCTGCACAAAAAAAATCCGTGGTACTTTTCCCTGAGATCGAATATGTTTGCCGTTGTGAGTGACTTTAAATTCTTGATTTTCTGTCCTTTTCAAAGAACGGAAGCATGCAGCTAGAGCCGCAGTCAGCACAAGCGAAAATGGCTCAACAGTCTGCTAGCAGTGGGCAGTACTACCCGAATCCCCCGCCGATCAGCAAATTCTTGATTTTCTGTCCTTTTCAAAGAACGGAAGCATGCAGCTAGAGCCGCAGTCAGCACAAGCGAAAATGGCTCAACAGTCTGCTAGCAGTGGGCAGTACTACCCGAATCCCCCGCCGATCAGCCTGACGACGAAACAGACTCGTGTCGGCGTCGTCAACAAGTCCTCCGGAGGTAGAACCTTGCCGCCTTTGGTCCACGGTGACAGACTGCCTTCTTCCTGGACTTCTTCTCTGCCTCGTCATCATCCCAACTCGGGTCTCAATCCTTCCGGTGACGGGTTTCCTCCTCCTCCTTCTTCTTCTTCGTCCGGCGGCTTCAATCACCCGGATTGTATTCCGCATTTTGCTTACCCGTCCCAGCAAGCTGGCGGGGATTCGAGTTACCGCGGGCCCCCGCATATGAAACACCCCACAAGGCGCATGCATTCCTTTACGTATGAAACAGAAGATGATGACGCTGATGTCATTTACCAATATCCGCCTGTTGGGGGAAGGAGGATGATCAATGCTAATTTTTAACAAGGGCTCGATGTTTTTTTTTTTTTTTTTTTTTAGTTGTGCTACATTTTGGTCATTGCATCCTGGAAACAAAAAACTTCTCGTTTGCGCAAAAACAATTTTATACTGTAATTGATCAAAATACAGTCGAACCTCTTCAAGTCGAACTTCAAGGGACCTGCAAAAAAAACCAAGTTGAGGAAAGTTGGGCAAACGAAAGAAGGAAGAATTACAGGAAATTGAAATTGATGATATTCTGGTCCTTAAATTTGCTTCTCAAATGAGTTGACAGGATGTGATATTGCTGAACTAGGAGGCGTGGGTTCAATGTAACCAAATAGTCTTTCACTTCCTTTCAGAAAACAGCAAGTTACACTTTTATTGCTTTTCGGTTTTAGATGCCAATAAAGTAATAGCCAAAGAACCTCCAGAAAATTCCGAGTTATGGAGGTTTGAAGACGTAAACCTTCGAGTTTAGAGAGGGTTTTAATGCATTGTTTCTGAGGGAATTCAGACGGGAACTTGAAAAAAGTCTACTTCGTGAGGTTTGAGTTATTGAGGTTCTACTGCAGTTGGAGTAACTAGGGATCGAAATGTGAGTCATTCGAAACCGTTTCCACGTGTGATGATGAAGTTTTAAGTCAAGTTCGAGTCTTGTAAAGGCAAATGAATTGAACAGATGCCCTGCTGTTCTTGACCAAATCAGGATAAAGCTGAAATTACGACTGGTTCGTATGAAAATCGCGGAAAATGACCCTCCTCTGGTTGTGGGACACTATAACTGGATGTTTCTGGTAGACTCGGGTTGATGGCGACATCTGGTTGTGTTCAATATCCTGTCCTGGTGAAGTTCTTCAATAAAGCCAGCATTTCTTCGCTTTCCCTACCTGGTGTTGGGTGGAACTCGTTACTTTTTTCTCTTGGCATGTGTTCCTTTTGACTCTGTACTTGTGTGAACGAAAGCTTCTGGTTTTGTTTGTGTGAAGCTTTTGAATCAGCATTGGGGGCTTTAAGTTGAAGTGTGCATGCATAATGAGTGGCGGTTGGTTCTTATTTGAGTCATTTTCTGCTCAGGAATCCGTTTGAAAAAAGTCGAACATTGCGTTCAATTTTTACGCCTTCAGTTTCCCATCGTGTTAAATTTCAAGGGATGGAGGGTGTAATTTCAATTGTGGCTTTATTTTTTGGGTTTCTGAAAGCCTGAATGAGTTTTGGTAGAGATTATTCTTTGTTTTCCTGTAACATTAATTTTGAGCAAAGGGTGCGGGTCGTACTTGAGCAAATACGGTACTTCCTCTGAATAAAAGAAAAGAATAACCTCTATCACTATCAGCAGGGATACAATTTTCAAAGAATGCTGGAAGCTTAGGTGAGCGTCACTCACTTAAATACCTTTTTTCCAAAATCAAAGCGTTGAAAATTGATTTAATTGAGGTTGACGTCTCGTCAAAATTTAAATTCTTGCGTATCTCATTCTTGAAATATCGCAGCTTTCGGTTACTAAAAGTGGGGTACGTGTCTTACTCGGTATTAAGATTTCATCAAAATTTTATTGCGAAAATTCGGGTCATGTGTCTTGCATGAGGGCGTGTGGTACTCGAGTGAAAACTGTAACTTCTGTGCCCTTTCGAGCCTCTTCAAGTCAAACTGCAAGGGACCAGCAAAAATAATCAATTTATGGAAGTTTCAAGTTGGGAACGCAAGCATTTTGTCGTTGAAAAGAATGAACTGCAGAAAGTTTTACTTGCAACAGTTGTCAGGATTTTCTGGGCATTAAATTGATTTTGAATGAGTTGACAGAATGTTGAATTTGGAGGCAAGGGTTTCTTTGCCCAATTGGTCTTCCATTTCCTTTCAAAATACAGTATGTTTAATTTTTTATAAAGTTGAATAATACCCAAAAGGCTTCCAGAAAATTTGAGTTATAGAGATTTGAATGTGAAAGGATTTCAGTTTGGAAGGATTTTAATGCATTATTTCTAGAGGAATGTAGATGATGTTGGTGGGTAATTTAAAAAAATATAACTTAAGCTTTCATACTGAGAAACCTCTCCTGAAGTCCAGATTTAACGTTTTTTTGAAGATATTTCACTACAGCCGCTTCATTGGTTCTTGACCTAATTTTTGCAAAAAACGTTCTGTTCCGAGGACTTATAAGGGCACGTACAGTACTGTATTTATAAAAAAGTCTGCTGGTCCGTAAACATTTTGTGGAACTTAGTCAGTCTGTAAGAAAATTGTAAAAAAAATTGCTGGTTCATGAATAATTTCTTGGAAATTTGCTGCTCCTTGGGCCCAAAACGTTTGAGGAACACTACTGATCTAGACTTTAGACCATTCTTTCATTTGAAAATGCCTGCTTTTCAGCCCATGCCCAGTCTCCGAAGCAGAGCGCAAGACTCGGCAATTCTCAGTGGCCAGGTGGCTCTACGCATCCCTTGCTGAGAAGTGACCAGAATAATCCCCACTCCTTGACCACAGTCCACGCCACGGATCAGCAAGAAACCTATTCGCGAAGTAGCCAGAACCCGACTGAGTCTGTTCTCGACAGCCTCGATTTGGACTCTTTGGATGGGTCTGCTGGTGGTACAACTTTGTCCAGTGGAAGCCAAGCCGGGCTCATCATCAAGAACACTCATATCTTGTGACAGACCCATGTTTTTTTTTTCTTCCATGAGTGTAAAGAGAACGAGTGTGAAACAAGTAGTTGCTTGCTAATGGCATAAAAATGAATGCGAATTCCTGGCTGGAATCAGTGGGGCGATGACATACGTGGGCTGACTTTTCATGGATAATGTTTCTTTCAATTTCTGGGATTACATTCATTTTTTCGACGAGGAGAGTAGTTTGTTCCCTGTTCGGAAGAGACTTTCATTGAGATTTATGTGTGTTTAATTCTGACTTTTTCGAAGAAGTTGAACTAGAAATTTCCGCATATCCGTGCATGCTTTTTTTTTTTTTTTACCTATTATTAAGCTCATTAGAGTTTTCAACTGTGCAGTATTCCACCTGAGAACAAGGCCAACTGCTTAAATAATCTGAAGTGAAAGATTGGAAAAACCTTATTGCCTTTTATGGGAATAATCCTGCGTATGGTTCACAGCTAATTGTTTTGAAGTTGGTGTACTGTTACGGCCAAAGCATTCCAGCTGCTGAATTATATTGCATGTACTGCCAAAAAAGAGGTCAGTCGAAAATTGCTCTCGTAGCCTGCGACATCTCGCGGAGCAAATTATATTTATTCGATTAAACGCGCGAGTGGGATTGTGTATGCCTATTTCCTGGGATTTTTCTATTGACCAGTGAGATGCTTTTGAATGTTTACATTAAGAGGCACATTTCCCAGAAAATCCTTAGTTTTGTGATGGAGCTGTAGTGAACAATGCTTTAATGATTGTGGAGAGTCAATCATTAACTGAGTTGCTATTTTGAATAATATCTTGATGGAATTTCTGTAAAACTCTATTGCCGCTCTTTTGTTTGGGCCTATTTTCAACGAATTAGCTGCCCTAGTTTTAAATTTCAAACGGTTTTTACGTTTTTTGGTGAACTTCATGCTGTAATCCAGTGATTCTGGGCGTCTTCGTGATTTTCTTTTGTGCAGGTGCCATTTCAAGCCTTTATCATGTGCTGCTCACTAACATAATATGGAATGTTTGGACGAGAAATGGATTGCTTGCATGGACATACCAAATGTATGAGTGTCGCTTTTTATTGGGAATCTTTCCATTTATTTTGTTAAGTTCCCGTTCGTGTTGATTTCAAGTACTGTGGATTTTTAGGGGAGGGTTCAAAAATTTTATGTTAGAATTGAGCTTCGGTTACTGAGTCGGAATCCTTAAAATAACTGTGGTATCAAAAACGGGACTGAGCTAGGTGGGGTAAATTTTTGCCTCGACTTGAGCAACTTTTTGATACGAATCTGAATTCCATGTACTCATACTTTGGGGATGTAATCACTGTACAGCAGATAAGCAAAAACTGAAATAGAGGTCACGAATTACTCCCCGAACATTTTTGTACCCTAAAATGCATCCACATCCTGCAAGAATAGAACAAAGGAAGTCCAGTGCATGACTGGGAAAACTTCTGAACCGTTTTCTCCCTGCAATTAAAAAATTCGTTGAATACAATGAATAAAAATTCGAGGGTCGAATGCTCCTCTCGGACACGTTGACCCTCAACAAGCTTTCTTTCAAATCGCATCAAATTTACAATCGTTGCAACAAAAACAAACAAAAAAACATGGCACAAACGCCCTCAGAAGAAACCAGGATGATCCAGGATGGAGCGCACGCATTCTATTAACCAGTAACATGGATGGTAAAACTTCCGTACAATTCCAACGCTCACAAACTGTCAACTGCAGATATTTCTCTTACTTCACTGGTGCTGCTGACACGCTGTCGATTGCATCCGGACAAGACAAAAACAAAGACGGGGCCATTCCTGGTTTTGGTGGGACACATTTTCGGATCTTTGGAATGGCAGAAAAAAAAAATAAAGAAAATTGCGTGGGAGAGATTCAAGTCATTCATCAGCCTTGCAACAATCCTTCCTCTTTTTTTCTGTTCTTTTCAAGGCAGGCGAGACAGATTTACGGTAAAATGTCCGTCGAGTCAGTTAGTTAATCATCATCAAATCAATTTCGCATTTCTTCGTTGTTTCTTGAAACAGAAAAAGGGAGAGACACGATCCGGAACAACAGCAACAACGACGACGACGACAGAAGACAACAGTACGCAGGATTCCGAAGATGAGTCGCAAATGACGCAGTTTGTTTCGTTTTTTCTTTTTGTGCAGCACACGAAGGCCTTCCCACCGTCGTCGGCAATAACATACACAACCCGGGGCGTCCTCTCTCGGCGTTTCTTCAGGGGTTGGTTACCTGTTGCGCATGCGGGGGGGTCGCTGAAGGAGGCAAGAGGGGTGCTTTGTGGGGATCACGGCACGCAATACGCGGAGAAGATGCGGACCGTGTCGCGCTTGTAGCTCTTGAAGACCTTGTCCGCCACGATCCCGGCGTCCGTGTGGTGGCGGGGACACGTCAGGCCGCGCTGGCACCGGCACAGCGTGGACGCCTTTACTTTTCCCTGAGATCGAATATGTTTGCCGTTGTGAGTGACTTTTAATTCTTGATTTTCTGTCCTTTTCAAAGAACGGAAGCATGCAGCTAGAGCCGCAGTCAGCACAAGCGAAAATGGCTCAACAGTCTGCTAGCAGTGGGCAGTACTACCCGAATCCCCCGCCGATCAGCAATACGCGGAGAAGATGCGGACCGTGTCGCGCTTGTAGCTCTTGAAGACCTTGTCCGCCACGATCCCGGCGTCCGTGTGGTGGCGGGGACACGTCAGGCCGCGCTGGCACCGGCACAGCGTGGACGCCGTCACGTCGTCCACGTCGCCGCGCCGCTTCACCGAGAACAGGCGGCATGGCTGCTTCTTCTCACACTTCATCTCCTGAATAAAGACACAGAAAATAGGGAAATTAATTGAGGGTTTCGTAAGTCCCAGCGAAAAAAGAAAAAAAAACCGGAAAATTCCTGCTAGGCAATTTTTGAAAAAATTTGCAACGGGGAAGCCATCCCTATCACGTTTTCCCATACACTACAATTTGAACTTATTCAATTGGTTTTCCTTGTTCATCAAAAATTTAACGCAAAGTTCCCAAAAAATTGAATATAAATTATTTTCTCAACTTCAAGGTACAGTACAGTACATAAAGAATGACTTTCAGGGAAAAAATTTCGGATAAAGATACTGTAACAGTCCTTCATTCATAGTTCTGATAAATTCATTATGCTAGAGAAAATGTCCTGCAGACTGGTGCCAGTCCGTGGACCACAGGACGTAGGTTCCAGAAGGAGATACAATTACTTTCTTACTACCCGAAAAGTCTTCGTTACACAGAGTTCTTTCCCATAGAATAAATAAATATCTTGAATAAATCATAACTACTGGATCCATTTTTCTTCGAAATCTGCTTTTTCTCGGATAGCGCATAATTTCCCTTTACAGTATTCTCTTTTCGATTTGACAGAACAAAGCGCAGAAATCTACATGCTTAATGACGGAGAAAATCCTTGGAAACGGATAATTTCATTACAAATAACATATCATGTTCAATTGAATAAATATTATAGGCAATAAAAACATCTACAGTAGAATTTCGTTAAAATAAATCACCTCTGGATGAATTCTATCTTTTTAAAAATCGTATTCCAGGTCGCTCCCCCATGGCCACTATTAATATGTACTACCAATTTCTGAATGATGAATTATTTGTTCTAGTGCAATTTTATTTTATTTCCCCAGTAATGGCTTCATTGTAATAAAATGCAATTGTACAATAATGTCTTGCTTTCTCCCCAGAAATAATTTCTTACACTTTTTTGTGGTCCTCTCAAGTCGAAGATGAAAGGAGAGCCCCTTTTTATATTTAAGTTGCGCGATTTCTCCTCAACAATTTTTTCTGAATTGTTCAATCATTTTTTTTTAACCTTGTGAACGCTGACAAGTGCCAAATAAAACTTGTATGAATGAATGAACAGAAAACTTTATTTGCCGCTTTTCAGCGTTCACAAGGTACAACCAAAACTCCCGCATCCAAACAAAAATGTCTCTTCATTGAATTTCAGTAATTTTAAATCTTTCTAAAGCTGATTTCTATCTCTTTCAAATGCTGGACATAAGAAGAGAAGGTGCTCTGGCAATGCACAAACTAATGTATTTATGCTACAGGACTTACACCACTTAGAAACCATTGAGAGTTGGATGAATTTTTTACTAAAGTGCCATGAATTTGTTAAAATAGCTACAGCATCTATTAATGGGATGTTAGATGATACAAATAGTAATGGTTTAGTATTGCCACAAGCAAAAACAGCTAGTAATGTACTTAAGTCTACAACATCACAATTATCATGACAAAATTGAGTGATCAGGATCTTTTCTCCATTACTTGTACATCAATAAATCAATAAAAAATTTATTATTACAGTTGGACCTCCCTAAGTCAAATACCTCCCTAACTCGAATTTTTTTTTCCAGTCCCCATCTGATTCCCTTAGAAACAATGCATTAAAAACCTCTAGAACTCAGTCTTTTCCTCTCAAACCTCTGTGAGTCAAATTTTCTGAAGCCTTTTGGCTACTTTTTCCTTGAAACATGAAAGAAAAAATCACTGAAAAAATTTATTTTATGCATCTTGAAAGGAAGTGAAAGACTAATTAGGCAAACAAACCCCCGCATCCAAGTTCAGCAAGCTGTAAACTCATTTAGAAGCAAGTTTAGACCCAGACTATCCTCATTTACAATTTCCTGAATTTTTTTTACTTATCCTAGTAGCAAAATTGATTGTTTTCCTAACTCAAAACCTCATAATATCAAAACCTCCGTAAGTCGAATTTTTTTACTGGTCCCTAAAAATTTGACTTAGACAGGTTCAACTGTATTCTCTTTAAACACAGTCGATTTTTTCCTGGTCCCTAAAAATTTTTTTAGTATACCTAAAAATTCGTCGAATTTTTAGTATAGTAGTAGTTCTGGGGAGAATTTTTTCCTGGTCCCTAAAAATTCGACTTGGACAGGTTCAACTGTATTTTCTTTAAACACAGTCGAATTTTTAGGGACCAGGAAAAAATTCTCCC